GGACAGAGTCATCTGTTTGTGGTTTGTTGATAGTCTTGTGTTGAGTAAACCCACATCACGTGGTGACAATCATTACGGAACCAGTTTCTGTTCGAAGGAATTCCCATGATGTCACTAAAAGTGTGTGACTAGAGGGAGTGGCAGGGTTTAAAAAACAGAGATAAGATAAAATATCTCTCTGTCAGGTTTAATACCGTAACATTCAATTAACAAACTCTGGAAAGAAAGACAAAGACAGTTAGATGAGTTTTACTCGCGAGGAGAGTGCCCCAGAGACGTATTTCAGTTACAATCTCCAACACACTCTGAAAAACGTTCTGGCCCCCCTCGCATATTTATTGAAGGAATTTTCCCTAAGATTACAAATGGGCGCTATCAGCTCTAAAGGGAGGGGAACACACGCTGAGCTGTAGCGCCTAGATACAATTTTCACAACATAACGGTGCGATAGGAACATTCCATTCCTATCTATATGTGCATGTAGCCTTTGCATGCACACAGGCTGCAGCTGGGCTGGTTTTCTTTCTATGGGAACCAGCAGTGTATGAAAAACATCAGGTTATAAGGTTTTAAGTAGAAAGGCAGTAAAATGTGATCAAATATATACATGATTTTCCCAACATCTCTCCTTTTAGATTTGGATTTACCTTTATTTAAATTAGATTTTTTTTTTTTTGAGAGTTTCTTTCTTCTGTTTCCTTTTAACCACCTTTTTTATGATAAATTGAATGTTAAGGTTTAATATTAATAGACACTACACTCTGTGGAGTAAAAAATAATGAGCACTGAGAGTTGATATCCAATGAAGAAAAGGTTTTATTTTACTCTGCAGAGGAGAATGGCACAACCAGCTGGATATACTGTAGCTCTGAATGCGATTCTGAGGCTGGAACATCCCACGCCTGAATATAAGAAGATTCCACACACACACATACATTAACATTTCCCAGGAGAAACACTTTAGTTTATCACAAGACAGAGATTTGTTTCAGATGACAGGTTTCCGTTAACCCCAAGTCATGAGAATCTTGAACACAATGAGGGCATGTTATCTATATGATCCCCTAAGGGGAAACTTCCTTTCATCTTAGAACAAAGCTTCTAAGTAATCACTCGAAAAGGAACACTTTCTCACAAGGAAAACATATCACTCTGCAACTCAATACTAAAGTCTTAGTTTGAAGACAGTAGATAAATTCCCATGACTTTTGGAACAAAACCTGCCTGTTAAACTATTGCTACCTTAAAGCATTCCCATTCCAAATATAACTAGAATGAAAGCTGTTTCATTTCTCTAATTTAGGGGGGGTTCTTCTCCTGTTTCTAAATGCTGGATCAGACTAGGGCTCATATTTGTCACTGGCTTGTTTTAGTTTCTACATCTCTAGGCTGTGATGTACAGTATTGCAGCCTTTAAAACCAAATGAGTATGATTCTCAGTTTGCTTCACTACCTGATTGACTCATATTGGTTTTCTTTCAGTAAGATCCTAAATGCTGCTTTAGTCCGTTGCGTTAAAAAGGAAGCCAGCAGAATAAAAACTGAAAGCTCAGATATATAAATAAACAGAATGCTAGGCTGTGCATTTATCAGTACAGCACCATACTTTAGAACGAAAGGGTTCATATATCAGAAGACTTGATTTGTCAGATCTTACCTTTCCTTGAGGATTAAAACTCTTTAAAAGTGTTAGAGGTGCATGACTGAAGCCGTCTGCGTAGGCAGGAAGCAGCAGAAACATGGAGTGAGTCACCTGTGTGAGTCACTCTGCTCTGATTGGTCAGAAACCGGAAACCTGCTATGCTGTGGCATACTTTTTCCTTGACACACCCCTCCTGAATGTAGCCTCAGGTAGAGATCCAGTATTTTTTAGTCCAATGCAATCTGATATCTGTCTTGAGCTCCTCAGCTGATGCCAGATACTGATATGATTCTAAAGTGGAATTAATTAAATAATTTATATTACCATGCAGATAAAGGCATCAGGCTAAAAAAATTCACAAAAACAAAAACTATATTATTTATTAACACAAAAGTGTACGCTGTATTAGAGCTAAAAAAAGAAAAAAAGAAAATAACAACTCCATGCAAAGTGCACTGAGCTACTAATTTGAATTTTGTAAAAAGAAAATTCAAATTAGTACCTCCCTAATACTTTCTGTAACAGTCTAACTGTACAGTATGATGGATCCATGTAATCCATCCCACATGGTTGAATACCATCCATGGGGAACTTTGCTGAATCGAATGAATCATCCAATTCAACTATGAATCAGATGAAGAGTTTTCCATCAGGACGGAGATTTGTCGGTTCAAGCCCTGGCTCTGGCTTTCAGTGTCATTGTGTCCTTGGGCAAGACACTTCATCAGCATTGATTACTAATGGTGGTCAGAGGGACAGATGGAGCCAGTTTCTGTCAGTGAGACACAGGGCAGCTGTGGCAACAATGTAGTTTGCCATCATCAGAGAGAATGGGTGATTGACTGAATGTAATGTAAGTTGCTTTGGTCTATATAAGTACAGACCATTTACCATTAACACATCAGATGCAGTGTGATCAGTGTACCGTATCTAAGATTTTAATAAGGGTTTTAGGTTTTTTGTTGTTGTTGTTTGTAGTATTGCAACCAATGTTGTGGCATTTAATATTTAACAAATTGTTTTGCGTAAGAATATAACTAAACAAAGTTTGTTAAATAAAGAGGGAAATAAATGAAACACACTATCTAACAGGGGAATCATCACTTCTGTGGAAATATTTCTTCCTTGTAATATTTACTGTATCTTGTACAGCAGCACGTGTGCTTCATTAGGTCATTTCCTGTTGGCTAATTTAGCTTTTGTCCTGTATTATGACCGGCTATGACTGAATAAACACAGCTGAGATGAATGAGAGTATGCAGCAACTTTCTGAGACGTCTGTTTTATGTGGGATCAGAGCAACAACTCATCTGTTTATGATCACTAGGAGAGGGCATTGAGCCTGGTTAACTGGAGAGACTGGCTGCAGTAAAGGTAAGTCTATCCATCCATATTTTGCTGCTATCTCATGGGGCTGTTCCATATCTCCAGCAGTGTATGGGCATAAGGTGGTAAACCAAAGGCCACACACTGGATCTGGTTATTACAGACAGTGCTTCCATCACCAATCTGCAGGTACATGATTTAGGCATGTCAGACCACAACAGCATCTCCATGGAACTGTCTTTAGCAGGCCCGTACAATAAAACAAAACGTCAGATCCATTTCAGAAACCTAAAAGCAATAGATGGCAACCTCCTCAACCAGGACATACAAAACATCTCACTTGACCCACAGTTCACATCAATTAATGGATCTGTTAACTACTACAATTCCAGCCTCCATAATATCCTGGAATCTCATGCACCTCTAAAAACAAGAACAGTTCACTTTTCCAAATCAGCCCCCTGGTACACCATAGAGCTCCGCAAAATGAAAACTGCTGGCCGTGCCCTGGAGCGGAAATACACCTCCACTGGACTACAAGTTTTCAGACAGGCTTACCGTGAACATCGAACATCATATGTCAGAGCACTCACCAAAGCCAGATCCCAATATTTC